GGTAATTTACTTAGGTTCACCAAATTATTCTTCCCGCACTCGCCAACCTATAAAAGAAAGTTCCGCGCAAAGGATTGCAGGGATGCGGATTAAGTTTATAAATTTCTTGACGCTGATAATCCTACCTGTTCCCAAAATTTATATCCTTACAAACCAGATAGCTCTATGATGCATGTTCATGAAATTTTCTTATAAAATTAGATCCCTCAAATTCAAATTCTCTCGAGTCTTGATCACAAGCTGCCATGATTGACCATATACTGCTTCGGCAAATACATATTACATAAAAACGTCCAAGCGCAACAGGAAACAACTAGCAGCAACAAGAAGAACACAATCAATTATGTTTCTTCAGAATTAAAAGAGCAATAATCATAACAACACCGATGAAGGCCCATACGTTAAATCAATAACTGCTCGTAATCTATAAAGAACCATCCAAAAAAGAAAATAAAAAGTATGTACCCCCCATCGCGTCCCCAAACCAAAAATAGGGAAACAAAATAACCTCGGGGAAGAAGACGACCAAAAGAGCACTGTTGATGATCGGAGCCTTAACCCTGGGTGTCTCTTCTCTCTCTGTTTCTCTGTGGGAGAAGTGCTTTTGAAGCCAGTATTCGTTGCAGTAGGTGATCCGCTTGCTCCACGGAGATTAGAAAAAGAAGAAAATCCAAAAGAAATGGAATGGGAATAACAAATTGAGTAGTCAATTCAGGTGCGGATAAAGCAAATTGATTAGTGTTGAGTGAATTGTGCAATTAGAAACAATTGGGCGGCACGATTGATTAGGAGCAAACTCGATGGAATTTGCGGATAAAATAATCTTTACTTGGTGGAACTCGCAGTGACGTTGACAAGGGAGCTGCTGTCCGCAGAAGTCCACTTTCGGAAACCGCCTCCGGCGCGACGGAGTTGAATAGCGTTGACGATACAATCAAAGGGTACCAACACGTGTCCCCTTACCAAAAGATTGTGGCCGGCTACGTGCGACCACGTCGGCTCCGGCTCAGCCAGCAGATGATCGGGTCTACCAATCTCCACCGCCCACGTGTTCGGTTGATTAGACTCGGTTTTCCGTCTCCCCTTTCTCTTTTTCAAACCGCCTTCCATTTTCGACCCACTGACTCCGCGATTCGCCCGACCCAGCCCATTGTTTTCTTTTCTTTTCTTTTCCTTTTTTTTTTTTTTTTTCTAAATTAAACTATAAATATACTTTTCCATATAACCAAATTTATAAGTTTTGAAAATTAAATAAATAAAAAAAAAGGGTTTATTTGTTTTATGGACTTCTAACGTAAATAACTGTTTGAATTTGTGTTTAATATGTATTTGAAATATTTATAATATGTTTCAAGTCAGTAAATAAACGATCAATTATATTTAAAAATAAAATTGAAAAGTTTAAAGAAATATTAAATACTAGTTTAAAATTTTATTTTCTTTATTTAGAGATTAGAAAAATTGTATGGGATATGTATTTGAAAGGATCAAACTGAGAATGGATCCAATTTGACGTGCTCATTAAAATCGTGTTTTTAAAATTAAAACGTTAACATTACCATTAATTAATTAAACTTAATCGTCTCTCAACCAATAAAAACTTGCATGGTGACGTCAGCAAAGCTATACAAAATCAAAATAATCGAGTCAAATTCCATAATTTTTATATACGTTGTTTTTTTTTTTTTTTTTCTCTCTTTTTTCTTAATAGGCGGTAATAAAGTATTATTATTTATTGATGGAGAACACTTGATGATTAAGTATTACAGTAATTTACAAAGTTGTCCATGAAATTGTAGTTGGGCCATCTGTCCTAATAATTGGGCTTCATCAGGCAGGTAACCCGGCCCAAAAAAAGAAGACGATGAAATTTAGTTTTTATAACCATTTACAATTTAAATCTTAAAATAAGAATGAGAGTGAAAAATTCTGAGTGAGGACAAAATAATGTGACTATATCAAAGGAAAATACTGCGACTATCAAATATTTGAATTATTGATTAAAAAGTGTAAAACCGAGGTCCACGTGTTTTCTTTTATATATAAATATAAAAATAAAGATAAAGAGAAGAAATTGAATTAAGAGAATGAGAGATTCGGGGGTGGAATAATTGAAAAGGTGAGGACATAAGGCAATGGACAGTAATTATTAAAAAAATAAAATCTCCAAACCCACCTGGATTTGCTTCTTAAATGGAGGACCAGCTGGTCTTCTATATATATATATATATATATATATATATATATATATATATATATATTTTTAATAATAATATTCCTTCCTCGCAATCATTTATCAAACTCTTACTAATGAACTAAACAAAATTTATATTAATAATAGCTATGAGTTTATTATCCCTTAATTACTCAAATTAACATTTTTAAAAATAATTTGATAAATTAAATAAAACACGATCATAATTCTAAATTTATTACTACAAGATTGTACGAGAATATAGTTGCATGGGACATGTTTAAATAAGTAAAGTTTTTATATATTAAAAAAGGAAAAAGAAAAAGAAAAATAATAATTAAATAGATAGAATAATGATGAAGAAGTTGATAAATGTAAGAAGAGACATGAATATGATGAGCACTTATTTTAATGCATAATAAAGGGGTTGGACAATTAAGGTCTATTTTCTTGTAAGGCAATGATTGTGTGCAAATCAAATCCCCAATTTTTTAGCCTCACAACAAATGCCATTTATCCATCTAATTTTAATATATTATTTTTAATATAAAGTTGATAGAAATATAGCACTATTAAGCAATAATTAAAGCGAAGAAAATAATGCAACATATGAAGATACTCCACCGCAAACTATAGGATAAAAAAAATGCTGTAATTAAGAAGTATAATATAATATAATATAACATAAGGTTTGAAATTAAATAAATACGTGTGGATGTAAGGAAGGAATGTCTAGAATTTAAGTGACACGGGAGAAACTTGCTCTAACTGGAATTTTATTTGTCAATCTATAATAATGGGATGGGAACCGTTATTTCTATATATTTTAATTTTATTTTCGATTTAGTTATCACGAAATATTAAAATCCATTAAAAAAAAAAATCGTCTGGATATATAAACAGAGATTGGGAAGGGGTAATTAAAGAAAATAGTGACTATAATTACGAGGGCTTACAGAAAATTAAGTGATTAATAGATTGATTAAGTCGTTGATTGGAAGTTAGGAAGCGGAGTGATCCGTGGGTTCGTCGGGGGCATGTCGTTGGTGCTTCTTCAGTGGAGCCATGGCGGATTTCTTACGCTTCTTCTTCTCGTAAGCAATCCCTCTGGCCTTGGCCTGCGAGTCTCTCACTTCCCTTAAATAGAGCCTGACGGCTCGGGTGCCGAAGGGGTTGGTCTCGGGGTGGCCGCCGTTCTCCTCGAAGGCGGCGCGGAGGCGGCCGATGAGAGCATCGAGGCTGCCCCAGGCCTGGCGGAGAGGGCATGGGCAGGGGGCAGGAGGTTGTGGGTGTCCGAAGAAGGGGCAGCAGGAGGTGTGGACTTTGGTCTTACCGAACTGGTCCAGGTAGCGTAGGAACTCGAGAATATGAGCGCCGCTGCAGCGGGATAGTGTGAGTGGAGGGCGGTGATTCTTTAGGTACTGCCCGAACGTGTTCCAGTCACGTCGCTTCTGTGACTCGTACCTGCGTCACGTACGGTTACAACTAGAACATTTTCATGCTTCGAGTTGAAATACCAGAACATAATGAGAAAAATAAGAAGATTGTTTAATCGAAGTACCTGCTGAGTGCAGGTGGCGGTGGGGATGGTGGTGCAGGCTCCAAGAGAGGATACTGGAGGTGGTGGTGGTGGTTGTCGGAGGTGGAGGTGGTGGTAGTAGAGGTGGAGACGGATTCCATAGCCAACATGATCGATCTGTGAGTAGTGAGTCAATAATAACTGTGAAGACGCAGCGGCAGCGGCGGCGGTGGAGAGCGCTTAAGGGCAGCCATACTTGAGAAGAAGTAATTAAGTTAGGAAGTGGAGGAGGTGAAGAATATATAAAGAACAAATAAGGGAGGGAAGTTGGAGAGGAGAGAGAGAGAGAGAGAGAGAGAGAGAGAGAGAGAGAGAGAGAGAGAGAGAGAGAGAGAGAGAGAGAGAGAGAGAGAGAGAGAGAGAGAGAGAGAGAGAGAGAGAGAGAGAGAGAGAGAGAGAGAGAGAGAGAGAGAGAGAGAGAGAGAGAGAGAGAGAGAGAGAGAGAGAGAGAGAGAGAGAGAGAGAGAGAGAGAGAGAGAGAGAGAGAGAGAGAGAGAGAGAGAGAGAGAGAGAGAGAGAGAGAGAGAGAGAGAGAGAGAGAGAGAGAGAGAGAGAGAGAGAGAGAGAGAGAGAGAGAGAGAGAGAGAGAGAGAGAGAGAGAGAGAGAGAGAGAGAGAGAGAGAGAGAGAGAGAGAGAGAGAGAGAGAGAGAGAGAGAGAGAGAGAGAGAGAGAGAGAGAGAGAGAGAGAGAGAGAGAGAGAGAGAGAGAGAGAGAGAGAGAGAGAGAGAGAGAGAGAGAGAGAGAGAGAGAGAGAGAGAGAGAGAGAGAGAGAGAGAGAGAGAGAGAGAGAGAGAGAGAGAGAGAGAGAGAGAGAGAGAGAGAGAGAGAGAGAGAGAGAGAGAGAGAGAGAGAGAGAGAGAGAGAGAGAGAGAGAGAGAGAGAGAGAGAGAGAGAGAGAGAGAGAGAGAGAGAGAGAGAGAGAGAGAGAGAGAGAGAGAGAGAGAGAGAGAGAGAGAGAGAGAGAGAGAGAGAGAGAGAGAGAGAGAGAGAGAGAGAGAGAGAGAGAGAGAGAGAGAGAGAGAGAGAGAGAGAGAGAGAGAGAGAGAGAGAGAGAGAGAGAGAGAGAGAGAGAGAGAGAGAGAGAGAGAGAGAGAGAGAGAGAGAGAGAGAGAGAGAGAGAGAGAGAGAGAGAGAGAGAGAGAGAGAGAGAGAGAGAGAGAGAGAGAGAGAGAGAGAGAGAGAGAGAGAGAGAGAGAGAGAGAGAGAGAGAGAGAGAGAGAGAGAGAGAGAGAGAGAGAGAGAGAGAGAGAGAGAGAGAGAGAGAGAGAGAGTAGGGGACAGGAAGGGCCTATGGAAACACAGCCACGTCAAGTAAGCAAGCGATGACACTTTGAATATCGTTTCGAAACGTCATTTCCTTTTCCTTTTTTCTTTCGTTCTTTTCCGTAAAAATAAATCTCTAAATTATAAAAAAAAATTAACCTAAATCTTTCTATTTTGTTATTGTTATTTCATTGATGAGCTATTGCAAGAGGAATTCCAGAAAAAGCTAAGCAGAAGAAGCAGACGGGAAAGAGGCGTTGGAGATGGAAAAATGGAGGAGATTGTTGAATTTGGAGAGAAGAGAAGACGTTATTAATTAAAGCACCATTGTTTCGGCGGTGAGATTGAAGAAACAAAGCAAAATTTGGGGTGCCGTGGGGATGTGGTAGTGGATGTGACTACTAAGCTTTCCGTGATGGATGGATGCGATGGGAATGGCTCCAAAATTTCGCGTAAAATCCCCAATAACAGGTCAAATCACTTCAATTTCTAACTCACTTTACTGTTCATTTCGCCTTTTCATTTCCCCACGCCCTAGATTTTGTTTCAATTTACGTGAATGAATGATAATGCATGTGATATTCTCATTCTGTGATGCGTGGAAGAAGTAGTAGTAATCATAGTCCTTGAAGAACAGTTGGTGTCTGTAAAGGGAAAGGATGAAGATGAATTGAGTAAGAACTTAGAACACATGCAATGTAGTCGCACATATTTATTATGTTGACACTCAGGGGGGTACTATATAGTACACCAGACATTGGTCTTTTCGTCGGCAACAGCCTCAGAAATTACCAAATCATGTGCACCCAATCCAATATGAGATTGTTCAAAAAAATGTTGGTTGTAAGGAGGTGGGGGGATGGGCGTAGAACTAGAAAGAAACAGAAAAGGGTGGTGGAGTGCAGACTTCTCTCTCTCTTTTTCTTAATTGTTTATGGCAGAATGGCTGGTTTTTGTCTGCCTCTTCCGTAGTTTGGCGCCCAAGATGGGGTAAATACAGGCAATGTTAGGTCTTTTCCGTATGTCAAATCTTCCGGTCCTTTCACATTCCCCTTTTCCTCACTGCTTTAGATTTCATCAATCATCCAAATCCACCCCCCTCTCCTCATTTATCGGATCGCTCAATTTTCTTTCTTTTTTTTTTCAAAATTTGCTTCGTTTTATGATCTTTCGGGTTAGACAGTGTTCATCTTTTCAAGAAAAGTACATAAAGGTTATCTGAGAGATGTGTTTTCTGAACTTTGTTTTAGAGTGACTTTATTTTTAGAACACTTGAAGGTGATGTAATTTGAAGATCATCTATCTGTGATTTTGTGATTTCAAATCATCCTTTGAAACATTCCTTTAATAGAAACTAGAAACCTGTTTGTTATATTCTTCCATTCATGTCAATCTTACTTACAAACTCAGAAATCAAGGCTAACCTGAGAAAATATTCCATTCAATAAGAGAATTTGATCCCAATTTAACATTCAATTTACATAAATATGTAATAAAACTATCTTCCTCCTTCTGACAGTCTGCCTGCCTGCTTCGGAGGAGCTTGTCATTAAGAGAGGAGGAGGAAGGATGGCAGAAGGACAAAAATGTAGTTCGCTTTAAGACCCTGATTGGGTTTAGAGCAAAGCTTTCCCATTAAGAGAAAAAGAAAAGGCCAGCAGCACCCATGGCACTTAACCTGATGAATGTATTTTGCCAGCATGCTAGCTCTAGCTGCTTACCGAGTTAGTAAACCAAAGCTAATTGATTTCCATTTGTCCTGTAACTTTCACTTTTTGTTCAGAAGGTTGGCCAAGTTCCGAAGATCCTCAAATGCATGCATTGTATCAGCATCCAACCCTCCTGCAAACTGTGGCCGGGAAAAGGCAAAACACAATCAGCAACAATCTCTTTTTGTTTTCCTGAACAAAAATGATTAATTAATCGGTACCTGATGAATTCTGAACGCAAATCTTACTCCTTGAAGAAGCATGTAGTCCATTGCGGGATCTTTCTCTGATGACGCCTTTGACTGAAGTTCCATAGCTACTCTCTTCATGTACATCTTTGCCAACTTCACCGAACCCAACTTTATCTACAACATAAGAGTTCAATTTTGGTTGTTTTTAAGATTTATCCAACTTCTGTGTTCTTGAACCCATCGTTCAAATAGACTATGGTTGTTATTAATAAATGATCTACCAATAACATGACATCTTCTTCTTTTCTTACAGACTTATGATGATATTTCATGAAGTTTTACCTTGCTTATGATCCCGTTGTCGAGCATCCAATCTGTGGGAATTTGGAATTCTTTGCAATGCCTCATCAATGATTCTCTCATCCGGAGAAGATTGTAAATACTACGTTCCATTCTGATTGGCATTAACACATTGTTTAGCATAATTGAGGTCAAGGAAAACAACCAAATTCAGATATGGGAAGCTTTAGGTCCTTACTTCTCTGATAAAGAAACCATTTTTTTCAGAGCAATGTCACAAGGCAATCTGGGATCATCTTTGTAGCCTGAGATTTCACATTCCAATTTCTTTAGATCTCTGTACCCAAAGGCTGCTTCTCGCAATGTGTCAGCCTTTCTCTCTGGCCAATCGAAGTGCTTCAGAACTGCCCTTTCGTCCACCTTCCACAATATTACAGCATGCATTCTTTCAAATTCTTCCTGTAATGTTTTGTTTAAATCAAGTGTACCAAAGTTAAGAGAGAGTACCAGAAAGCAAAGTTCATCATCAAGCCACTTCACGAATGCCACAACATCTTCAATGTTCAAGTACACCGCATTGTTGACCTCTCTTATCAGTGAATTTACAAACTCTCCCTGGGTCTCAATATCTGCCTTTATCTGCACAAGTATGAAACCTTATTTACGGCAAGCACCAAATGAGAAGAATGGAAGATGAATTATATGAGTGAGAACTTACGGCAAGCAAATGAGATGATCGATTCTCAATCTCTCCAATCATGCTGCTCCGGACATTTGAAACATCTGGAACATTGCACATGGCTCCATGGGATGAATCTCTTCTTGAATCTCTTTTCATAAGTGAATGGTAGAATTCAACAACTTGTGGAGCTCGTTGCACCATCCCCGTGGCGCTCCTCACAGCGAACTTTGGAAGAGGAGGGGGCGGAGGAGGAGGTGGCAGAGGTGGTGGGATTATAGCTGTGTTTTCATCTTTGGGTTCATTAGAAATTGAGCAAGAAGGCCTCGGAGGGGGATTGGGTACACGCAAGGCTCGTTTCTCCACATCTAAGGAGGCAGAACTCCTGTTAGTCTGAGAGGAAAGAGGATCTGCTTCTTTATCCATCTCTTTTGCACATATAAACCCATCAGATTGCCTCCTCTTGTTTGGCTCCAATTCTTCGCCCCAGCACTTGGCTCCACTAATGGAGTGTCTTCTTCTGGGGCTTCTTCCTTCCTCTGTATCAACCCAATTTTTGTCTACAGCACTGTTATCTGAGCAATCTAAATTAGACAATTCCTCATCAGTAATAGGCCATTTCTTCAACTTTTTAATTAGATTTATTCTCTTCGCACTGTTGCAATCCACCATGTGCTCCTTTTGGCTGGATAATGAACCAACAGCTTCACTTGTCCTGTCGATTGTCTGAGGGCTGGATGGGCTGTTAGAATTGGCGGAGGGGCAGGAATTGCGAAGCTCGTTCCTTAAACAGGAATTGACCCACCTAAGGTATGCAAGCTCCTCAACCTCGTTTAATCTGCTCATCTGCAGACCTTCCACTTGCTTGCACAAATCTTCATTTGTTTGTCTCAGCAAAGATGCCTCTGCTTTGATTTTTGCCACACCTTCACTCTAGTAGTAACAAAACAAACACACAAGCATAAGCATGTTGGGTTGTGGTATACAGTGAAACACAAAGATCCTAACAAATGACCAAGTGTTACCTCGGAACTTTTTGCTACACAAGCCAGCTCGGACTCCACAGAAGAAAGCCTGCAAGCGAGATTCCTCTTCTGGAGCTGGAGTTCCTTGTTCAAGCGTCTCAACTCAACAACTTCCACTTCTATGTTTAGAGGTGCGGTCTGCGGCTCTTCTTGCTTCTCAGAAATTGAGGATGAAGCTACCAATTGCTGGGACAGGGATCTTCTATCTTCTTCCAATAGATTCAGTTTCTGAGTAAGAGCGTCTAATTCGGCTTTCTTTTCCTCAAGTTCCCTCTCCAGTTCATAATTTGTAGTATTCCGCTTAAGTTCTGCAAGTTCGTTCTGAAGTTCGAATTCCCTGTTCTTAGATTCGTTGAGCAAAGTTCTGAGTTGATCGAGCTCGACGAACAAGTCCCGAGAAGACTGTCTGCGGTGGGTGTGATAAGAGTGTGGATGAACTTGAGCAGGATTTGGAGAGCAGGGTGAATCCCCAATGAGAGAACGCTTGATGCGAGACTGGGAAGGAGGGAGCTTGTCCTTGTGATATGCGAAATCCGAAGTAGCAAGTGGAGGTGGTTTCTTGGGTTGGAGAGTGGTTTTAGTTCTCTTGTCTGTGGAGAAACCTTTGACAATGTTAGAACCCCAGGAAGAAGCAGCCCTGAATTTGGAAGCATTCCCAGTAGTTCCTTTGGCATTGTGATTTAGAGACTTGGGATTGGGATTGGGATTGGGATTGTGATTCTGATCAGCAAACCTAGATGGTTTCCCCCCTCTGCTTTCAGATGGGTTATCCTCCTTCATTCTATATGAACAAAAAAAGCAGACACAAAGAGTGATCCCTCCCTGTGGAGAAACAGCCAAGAAGCAAGAGAGTTCACGACAAGTTCGTCAGCTGCATTGTCGAAAAAACGAACAGGAAATGTGGAAGAAGGAGCGGGGCTTGTTTTGTTTTGTTTTGTTTTGTTTGAAAAGAAGGTTCGGAGAGTGAAGTGGAGAAGAAGAAAAGTGTGTGAGTAATGGGAAGCTCCAAGTCCGAGGAACATAGTAGTATTTGAAATTTTGAAATTTGAATTTTGAGGTGTGTGGATTGGGCACTTGCTATATATGGAGAGAGGGCGGAAAGGCAACGGTCGCATTGCGTCTCTTTTGGGTTTGCGGCATTTCTACTTTTTCTTTTTTATATCTAACTCGGGCGGGATCAACAGTTGACCATCAAATTCAATTTTTACTTTTTTTTTAAAAAAAAAAAAAAAATTAATGCTTCCTTTGTACGTATGTAGGAGGTTAGAATGAGGGGTAAAAATTAAGATTGAAAGTTGGTAGGATAAGGTAAATGTGGGGTCCACTTCCAAGTGCCCTACTTTTGACTTCCAAATCATCACCTTCACTTCCTTACAGGTATGGATTTTTCAGATCCCATAAACAAAACACAATTTCACAGCTTTATGCATTATCATCATGCTTAAGTAATCACCCACCTATATATACTACTTGCTTTCTAACTCCAATCTCATCTTCTTCGCTCTTCACGCTTACAGATAACTCAAAAATGGCACTCATCATCTTGCGGTTGGAACATTCTTTACATCAACTTATATTCTATGTATGGCCTTCCCTTGTTATGCAGTAATTATAGGAAACATCGCATTTGCCACATGAATTTCAAACCATATAGTTGAGAAAATAAAGGAGGATGTCTGTGTGCACAAATTGCCCTTCTTTCTCACTCCTTCCCTTTCCCATCATCTCAGACTCCATTACTTAAACCAACTATTCAGCTGTACTGAGATGAGATTAGTAGTGTTTGGAATAACTCGATGGAAAAATCATTTTGTTTACCACATTAAATTTGTTGATTATTCTACATTGAGTATGAGATTAATAATTTTTCCAAAGCTCAGCATAAGCAACTCTCTTAAGATTTGGTATAATGTCAAACAGTGAAGCCTGAAAATTCTAAAGAATCAAGTAAAATAATCATATGTATCACATCCAGGAATCTCAGAACAAAAATGATACAGAATCATGAGTTATAACTCCTACCGTCAAATATTTGGGGAAAATCAACAGCTCCAATTAACAAAAACAGTAAACAGCCCCCGGGGTGAAGACTGTCGTTCAACACTAGCAAACATAGTTCACCTCCTCTTCAAATGCAGCAAGGCTTCTCTAAGCAACAGATTGAACAGCTCTATCAAAGCTCTCTTCAGCAGCCGAGATGCGTTTAACAAGCAAGTGGTCAGGATGCGAAAGTTTCAATTGGCTGAAATTTTGTGGCAAATATGTTAGCAATAGAAGTCTAATCCAACTTGTGGGTGGATTCAAGTGCTCAAGTACCGTTTAGCAATACAGATAAATCAACACAGCTTATCTTCAGGAAAACATTAAATATGAAGATGGGAGACAGGACCAGGACAAAATAAATTTCTGAATACCCAAGATATTATTAAATGAGTATAACAAGACCTACGGTACAATAGAAGAATTTCAAATATCAAACTCCAATATTAAACTCTTCACTAAATCCCCTTCAAGTATTTTTAGAAAATGGGTTTAGTTTCTTCAAAGTGTTATAGAAAATGTTCCACTTTAAAATACTACTCTCACAAGTCACTCCAACCTCACTTTAAATAACCTCCTAGAACTTAGGTGATCATAGTATTGCCATTCACTTTCTTAAAAACTACCTTCACCACAATTCCCACAAAGATGCAGACTATAGAAAAGCATTGCAGCCAAACAACCAAAACATAAAAAATAGAACGAAGAAAGAAAAAGATTTCTGGCGATGGATCCCACCCATTACCTGAGAAAACGAGAAGTTGGTTTGCCAAGGTGAAGACTGCATACAACTAGATTGGCCATAGTTTCTGGATCTTTTGCATCCTGTGAACAACAAGAAAGAAACATCTTATCTACAACTAGAAATTTATAAAATATATTTGCATCTTTCGTGGAACTGAATATTTCCAATCTGTCTTAAAGTTTGATCACATTGGAAATTCATTTAAGACAACTAAGTAACAAAGATGTTGGGTCCAGGTTTTTTTTTGGTCGCTAATTTGTGCCAATAATCTTGATCCCCTCTGAAAGTAGTTTCAGTTATACAATATAAGTAATCAAATGCATGGTGATCCAAACCTACCTTGTTCAATGCTTCAAGAAGAAGTGTCTCGGCCTCATCAAAGTTTCCCATATGCATGCAGCAGACGGCCCTTCCATTCAAAATCAAGCTTGTCATTGGATACTTTTCAGAGAAATCTTGGAAGATAAGATATGCTTCTTGTATCTTGGAACCACCCTGGTCAAGCAAGAAATTACAGAGTAATGAGACTACCTCCAAAGAGTCTATTCCTTCCTTCGGATAATGGAAATATAAGCTACAAACCACAGCCAGATTTATCCAAGCATTTGCAAGTTGTGTTAATGTGTGATCCTCATCAGTCTGTTGCATGACTCTCAGCTGTCTCTCAGCATAATCTGACCTGTGCATCTTAAGAAATATTTGAACATTCAGAGCATGCCTGCATGGAAAAACAATATCGGGCTTGAGCTAATTCCAGTATACACTTCCAGTCTCACAAGGATCTCCCCTGAAACAACTACTTGCATCTACATTAAGCACAAAAAATAAAAAAATATGCAGTTGTTTCTTTTAGTCTCTAAATGTTAATAAGTTCCATATACATCCCCTTACATCCAATTTTGATTAAAATAAATCTCTACATTGAAATCATTACATAAATGTTGGTGTGACAAGTTGATTGAACTACCAAGTGATGATTTAGCACATCGTGCAACAAGGTAGTAGGTAAGGATGAAATAAGGTAGACAATCTATGTACATGTACCCCCAAAAAGAAAAAGATTAAAAAAAAAAAAACCAACCTATATTACAGCAGCCAACAATTGAAACTATTTCAGTTGAAAGAAATAAGTATTGGTAAAGCATTGAAAATGAGACTTACAATTCCATGGTTCCTCCAGCATTTGTGTGTTTCAGGGCTTCATTGAAGTCTTGCTCATGCATGAATATGATTCCTGCAATTAGCCTCAAGGTAGGATTGTTTGCAATGGCTAGATCTGATAACCATTCCTGTAGACTTGCGATGGTTGATTCCTGCGATGTTCAAAGAATTCATCGGTAAAGAAACTTTGATTACTCTGCTCTCGTGAATAAGAAAAATGTCTTCATTTTTTTCTGAATGTCATTTATCGTCCAGCACATGGGGTAAAATCTGATGTAAGTTGGTTTGAACTGCATCAAACATCACTAGCCAATAAAATGGAGTTACCAACTCCGAATATCCAGTAGACCCATCTTTAGATTTTTAGAACTCCATTCCACAGATCAGTGTCAAATATGGTTTAAATTTATAAAGCGAAGTAACATGGATTTCAAATGCGTGAACCAATAATATAACTAAAATTCTATGAGTTCCAAACAGAAATTATCATATTCCAAATAACATAATCGGCTAAAAGGGGCTCTAGATCCACGGATGAAACCTTGCTACTAGGATCGGACAGATAAAGAGCGAGCAATTTGACGGCTTGGAGAGACGTCGGGGCGGATGAGTCGATCTCGCTGATGGCTAGCTGAAAGAGTACGCAAAGAGTTTCAAATCAAATTCAAATCAAGCATCAATAGACTTTCGAACCAATCTAACGTGCAGGAACAGACCTGATAGCTGCCAAGGGCAATGTAAGAGCGGAAAACAATAGAATCCCTCTCGATTGCGTCATCGGGTGAGAGATTGGAGAGATTACTGTTGTTAATGGCTGCCTGATACGCTCCCAAATAGAAATTATTTCTCAGATTGAACAAATGATCTGGTGCTGCCATGGTTTCCTTCTCGTCCAAGCTCCTTCCTCTATATCTGAATCTAGCAGACTGGGAGAAATAAAAGAGAGAGAAAACCGACGAAGCAACTGAACGCTTAACAAAATTTGGGCTTTTCGGGTTTGTTCATTTTTTATATTACCTTTTATAATTTTGAAGACGCATTAAGATTTTTTTCAGAAATAATATTTCAATTTTGTTATTAATATCCTTAAAATTTTAAAATTTTAAAAAATAAAATAAAATAAAATAACCTTTTGTTAAAAATAAAACAATTTTTATAACACAATATTAATAATAATTATATATAGATATAAATAAATAAACAACTGCGTAATATTGGGGAATTAAAACTGGGCATGGACCTTGGACCGGTGGGCCGACATCGTCGTGTTCGGCCCTTTTGTGTTTCTTCGCAAAGAGCAAATTTGAAAGAAAAGATTAGGCTCCAATTTCTAAAACCCTAGCTTCCTCTCCCCCACTCTCGCTCTCGACGCTCATTTCACTTCTTCTTGCTTCTGTTCTTACTGAAACAAACCCTAGGTCGCATCTCAGTTGAGGGATTCCAAATTCTGGCACAATGTCGATGTCTAAAAGTTCGAAGATGCTCCAGTATATTAATTACCGGATGAGGGTCACCATCCAAGATGGTCGCCAATTGGTTGGCAAGTTCATGGCCTTCGATCGGCACATGAACCTCGTCCTCGGCGACTGCGAGGAGTTCCGTAAGCTTCCTCCAGCTAAGGGTAAAAAGACTAATGAGGAACGCGACGAGCGTCGTACCCTTGGGCTTGTTCTTCTTCGCGGCGAGGAGGTCATTTCCATGACTGTTGAGGGTCCACCACCTGCTGAAGAGTCCCGTGCTAAGGCCGTCAATGCTGCGGCTATGGCTGGGCCTGGTATTGGTCGTGCCGCTGGGAGGGGTATCCCGACTGCTCCTCTTGTTCAGGCTCAGCCTGGTCTTGCTGGGCCAGTTCGTGGAGTAGGTGGACCCGCTCCGGGGATGATGCAGCCTCAAATCTCTCGCCCGCCAGTACCACAGCTGTCCGCTCCGCCCATGACATATCCAGCTGCCCCCGTTATCCGTCCACCTGGTCAGATGCCGATGTTTCCAGGACAAGCTCCACCTCCGGTTGGGAGAGGAATGCCTCCGCCGGGGCCTCCGCCACAGTTCTCTGCAGCAAGACCAGGGGGAGCTCCGCCACAACCATTCCCAGTTCCTCCTCAATTTGCTCAGAGACCCATGGGACCTCCACCAACCGGGCAGGTGATGAGGGGACCGCCACCCCCACCCAGACCTGGAATGCCAGCGCCCCCGCCTCGACCGGGGATGCCTCCTCCACCCGGTGGGGCAGTTCCTATTTACGGACCACCTCGTCCTGGCATGCCGCCTCCACCCGCCCCACAAAATCAGCAGCAAAATCAACAGCAATAGTGTTGGTATGTCTCTTTATCGAATTCGAAATTCGGTAGTTTGCCTTATAGTGTCCAGTTCTTTGTTTAAGCTATTACTACAAAACATGCGATCATTGAAGTCAAGTACAACGGTCTCTGGTTAATTCAAGAACACTCTATTTAGAATGGATCGCATTTGAATATGTTTCCAATTCCAATAAATTTGACTAAATTCAAGAACAAATCTTGGTACCCGTACTTTCCCATTGAAATAACTAGTTAGTTCATGAACTTTATTATGGAATAACTATTATAAATACATTTCGTCCTTAACGGTTTATCAATTTATACAAGTAAAAAATAGAAGAAATCTTACCGCGGCTGAAATTGGTGAATAGGATAGTTTCTCCAATGACAAGCTTCAGTATATATATATCTCCTGGTACTAGTTTATCTCCAAGCTGGTTTGTTATGTGTAAAAAGGGTCCAGAATCTCACAGCCATCTTTTCATCTGTTGTGCCTTTGCCAGATACATAACACAGATTTTTGGTTTCCTTCAAATATCACTCTCCTTGGGCACCCGTTCAAGAAAGAAAAAAAGACTCTTTGGCTTAATTTCATTCGGGCTTTTGTTTACCCCATACTTAGGAGTTTGCAGATTTTCTCCGATATTAATTAGGGATTTGAATCTTTTGCATCATCTGTTTCTTTCTTTCTTTCTTTCTTTTTTTTTGTGATCCTTTGGATTGGTTTCTCTTTGTAATTTCATTTGATCAATGAAATGTTTGTTTCCTATAAAAAAAAAAAAAAAAAAAAAAA